TCCTTTAACCTCTGGTTTAAATCCTTTAAACCTCTGGTCCTATATCCTTTAAACCTCTGGTTTAAATCCTTTAAACCTCTGGTTTAAATCCTTTAAACCTCTGGTTTAAATCCTTTAAACCTCTGGTTTAAATCCTTTAAACCTCTGGTTTAAATCCTTTAAACCTCTGGTTTAAATCCTTTAAACCTCTGGTTTAAATCCTTTAAACCTCTGGTTTAAATCCTTTAAACCTCTGGTTTAAATCCTTTAAACCTCTGGTTTAAATCCTTTAAACCTCTGGTTTAAATCCTTTAAACCTCTGGTTTAAATCCTTTAAACCTCTGGTTTAAATCCTTTAAACCTCTGGTTTAAATCCTTTAAACCTCTGGTTTAAATCCTTTAAACCTCTGGTTTAAATCCTTTAAACCTCTGGTTTAAATCCTTTAAACCTCTGGTTTAAATCCTTTAAACCTCTGGTTTAAATCCTTTAAACCTCTGGTTTAAATCCTTTAAACCTCTGGTTTAAATCCTTTAAACCTCTGGTTTAAATCCTTTAAACCTCTGGTTTAAATCCTTTAAACCTCTGGTTTAAATCCTTTAAACCTCTGGTTTAAATCCTTTAAACCTCTGGTTTAAATGCTTTAAACCTCTGGTTTAAATCCTTTAAACCTCTGGTTTAAATCCTTTAAACCTCTGGTTTAAATCCTTTAAACCTCTGGTTTAAATCCTTTAAACCTCTGGTTTAAATCTTTTAAACCTCTGGTATAAATCCTTCAAACCTCTGGTTTAAATCTTTTAAACCTCTGGTTTAAATGCTTTAAACCTCTGGTTTAAATCCTTTAAACCTCTGGTTTAAATGCTTTAAACCTCTGGTTTAAATGCTTTAAACCTCTGGTTTAAATGCTTTAAACCTCTGGTTTAAATGCTTTAAACCTCTGGTTTAAAGCCTTTCCTATGATAAGGGGGCTTGTTTTGATGGTCCTGATGTCCTGATCAACCATTCCTTGGGATCATAATATCCTCATCTTAAGACACATCTTTTTCTCAGGAATCCATTTATATGCTTTGTGCCTTTTTTGTAATTTCATGGTAAGATAAAAGTTTTTCTCTTGTTAATGTTGATTAATCCATCTGAGGATTTTTTTATTGATAAAATGGAAACATGGTCAATAGTTGACCTTGATCACAGATGTAAATATTCTATCCACAATTAGCCCGTAGTTGTCCCTCGAGAGCAGCTGAAGGAATCAAGGTTGTCAAGTCAAGTGGAGGATCACAGATGGCCTCTGTGACAGGCTTGCTGGAGTCGTGACAGGATTGAGACGCGGAGAAACAACACCGAAGGATACATACTTATTTACCTGGTCGATATAGGATAACTTCAAAATTCACGATGGACTCAGGCCGGTCGAAGAAACGGAAGTCGATGGCAAACGGACCCGACCAGACGGCCTCCCAGACCCGCGTCAGAGTCGAGGAGAACGGCAGTACCAAGGACGAGCCTGTGGATGATGCCCTGCTTGCCATCCCTCTGGATGCTCATGGATGTAAGTAATTATTCAGGGAAAAGCTTTCAGCTGGACAGGCCGTTGGACTGATACTTTTTGCCCCTCCCAACAGCTCTGGAATACGGCTCCAACTGTGCCCGGCCTACGTTGAGTCCAATCAACCCCCAAAACACTGCGATCAGGAAGTCCCTTCACTCGATCGAGTAGCTTGATCGGCATAGAGTCGTCCTAGATTATTAGAAACATATTGATGTGGGGTGTCCGCAGTTTTTCAACAGATCGATATCAAGGAGCAATCCCAGAGCAATGTCCCTCGGCTCCAAATCTTCGGAGTCACCGAAGCAGGCCACTCAGTCCTTGTCCACATCCAAGACTTCTTGCCTTAATTCTGGGTCCCAGCTCCGAAAGGGTTCCAGAACACTGACTGTCGGGAATTGCTGACCACATTAAACGGACGCCCGTTTAACTCCTGCTCTCGATAATCGGCTTTCTCATTGTCCTCCGAAATCCTCCTTCATTCTCCAGTCCGCCCTCTCGCTCGGTGTCAAGCCTGTCCATAGTCTCTCAGTGGCTTACAAGACCTCCCTGTGGGGATACACTGGGGACACCCAGTCTCCGTTCTTGAAGATCGTCCTGACAGACTTCAAACACCTTGGTCGGGTCAAAAATAAGTCAACTTTTCTTATCAATTTTGTTTCTTGCCCCAGTCAGCTCCATCTTCTCATTCCTCAAACTGTTCTTTTCCAGATGCTTTCGAAAGAGGAGAAGTCAACTTCCGCGAGATGTTTACGGTAGAGATGGGCCCGGCGCATCCGGATATCCGTTCGGATTCGGATATCCCCTCACGTTTTCAGCCAAATCAGACATCCGCATCCGCATCCGCATCCCCTGGCGGATACCCGCTGGCCCTGGCGGGTATCCGCGCGGATACCCGCGGATATCCGCCCCAAAAATGACCCCCAGGCTGCAAAATGAAAGTTTCTTGGGGAAATTTCAGATGCAGAAAGCTGCATAAACACTGATTTTGAATTTCTTGCGGCCTTCAAGCCTTCAATTTATTTTTATTTTTTCAACTTTTTTTCCTTTGCTGCTTGCAGCCTGTGACCCTCCAAAAAATATGGAAAATGGAAAAAATTATATTTCTTTTTGCTTTTGAATTTTTTTTTGTTGAGCAGTTGGCAAAGTGGTTTTAAGTTTTTGTTTTTTTTTTTTATTTTTTTTTATTTTTTATTATTATTTTTTTTTTTTTCCTTTTGTTGCTCACAGCCTGTGACCCTCCCAAAAATATGGAAAAAATATAATTCCTTTTTCCTTTGCAATTTTTTTTGTTTCTTGCAGCTAACTCATGTAAATTTTTACAGGATTAAATTTCATTATTTTTTGAAAATGGATGGTTATATCAACTTTGCATACAAATAAAACTGGTATACGGTACAAATTATCATAATTTGTATAATTTAATTATGCAATAAATGGGGTATACTCATATATTAAGATTGAAGCTTTCATTTCTTGTCAAAATAAATGATACCATAAGCTTTGACACTACTCAAAGTGTAGTAAATAAATTCAAAATTTCAAAAAATGATGGAAATTAAGCTGGCAAAATTAATTAAAATAAATTAAGGGAAAAAATTTACAATGTCAAAAAAAAATGAAAATTAATTATTAATCTGTCAAGAATTAATTGAAAAAATGTGTCTAATTGCATTATTCAAAAAGAACCATTAATTTTTATGTAAAATGCTTTTTACCATTGAATTCTATGCACTTTAAAACATAAGAAATAAATTTAAAATTTCAAAAAATAATAAAAAACAAGCAGTAAAAAATTAATTAAAAAATGTGTCTGCTGTGCAGTGTGCGCAGCAAAAACCATGTTTTTTTGTTAAGGCCCCATTTTTTCTTTTATTTTTCCTTTTTTCCATTTTTTCTTCTGTTTCTCACAGCCTGTGGCCCTCCCAAGGCCTCCTGTATGGGCGGATATCCCTTGGGATACCCGGATATCCGCCAGGATTCCAGGGGGAAGGGGGCATCCGCACCCGAATCCGCACCCGCTGGCGGGTATCCGTTGGCACTGGCGGGTATCCGCCAGCGGATAACGGATATCCGCAACGGATTATCCGCGACCATCTCTAGTTTACGGCCTGTACCACCTTCGATAGCAATATTGCATACACCCTACGCTTCATGATTGACAAGAAGGTAGCTGGAGATGGGCCATTTATCTCACCCACCAATCCATATTGATCGATCTTCCTTTTCAGGTCACGGGTATGAACTGGCTGGAGGTTCCGCCGGGCTCGTACAGGCTTCGAGCGGAGCTCGAGAAGGCGTCAAATTGTCAAATCAAACTAGAAACCTCGTACATCCCCACCAATCTGCTCATTCTGTCCGACCTTGTCCAGGTGAAGCTGACTCATGACCCACCGGAACCTCGTTGTTTTTAGAGCCGAGACACTGATTTCACATGCTCCTGAGGGCGAATGGTCCAAGATGGCGCCCTTCAGGGACGGAAGGGAGTCTTCCCAGATGCCCGACTAGACCCGGTGATCCAGATTGCCAATATGGTCACCGCCCATGGTCTGTTGACCACCCCTACTGCATCATTTGGTTTCCAGTTGTCAATCTCATCTCCTTCTTTCCCTCTTGCAGGTTCCATGGTCCCTTTCATTCGGAACGTCTTCACCCTCAATAGTTGCTCCCATATCGCAGGCAGTCAGGTCTTGGAATTCAAATCAGAAGATCAGCCTCTCCTCGATCGCGCCAAGGCTTTGAAAGTGGCATCATTTCCTTATCTCGGTAGGATGCGAAGTAAGCTACTCCACCCCAATTTGTCTTTCTCTCGAACGAATGTGAACAGAGTTGCATGGTTGACCTTTGTGTGTGTGAAAATTTGATCAGATTCTCAAACAGCAGTCAAGGAGACTCACTTTTCATCAAAAGCCTATGGGACTCGTGATTCCAAAGAAACTCGTCTAGACGGACGTCTCCAACTGGACTTACTACAGGTCATGCAGAGAGACTACAAGCTAAGAAGCTACACGTTGAATTCCGTGTGTGCTCACTTCCTAGGTGGGTGATCATCCTTTGTCAAGTGTATCTCGCGAAACCAATCTGCTAACTCACTCGATGGACAATGTGCAGGTGAGCAGAAAGAGGACGTTCATCATTCGATCATTACCGACTTACAAAATGGTAGTGCGGAGACCAGGCGACGTCTCGCCGTATATTGTTTGAAGGTTTATTTTTGAATCTACATCCTCAGACATGCTCCAAACTGAGATTTGCTGGTCGCGGTTTTTTTTTTTCAGGACGCTTATTTGGAGGGTTCCATTCAACTACCTATTATCTCGAGGCCAGCAGATCAAGGTAGTTTCCCAGCTCTATCGAAGGGCCAACGAGCATTCTTATCTCGTACCTACACTCAAGCATGAAGGCTCCGATGAGCCTTACGACGGAGCAACGGTCATGGAGCCTGTCCGGGGCTTCTACGACGTGCCGATCGCGACTCTCGATTTTGCATCCCTTTATCCATCGATCATGATGGCCCACAACCTCTGCTACACCACTTTGACAGACGTTAAAACGGTCAAGCTGTTAGAACTTCGACAAGATACTACATCATAACCCCCAACGGAGGTAAGTTGTCGTCAAGCTTTCCCGCGTTCACTGCCTGAACTCTCAGCCGATTGAAACTTGTGTTGGTCTCAATCGTTTGTTAGATTATTTTGTCAAGGCATCCAAGCGGAAAGGTCTTCTGGCGATCGTCCTTGAAGACCTTCTGTCGGCCCGGAAGCGCGCAAGGGCCGAGTTGAAGCTGGAGACGGACCCGTTCAAGAGGGCCGTCTTGGATGGACGACAGCTGTCAGCCTCTATGCTACTAACCTGTAAGGGTTGTGCTCTGAGTGTTAACAAGTATGGTAAGTGGGAAGGTTTATTCGTGGTTAAATCCCTCAACCTGTAAAAGAAACAGGGAGGAGTCAGTGAGGAATGGTACTTCTACTGCTGACTCATCCAATTATTTAATTGGGCATCCAGATCAATCCTCTTGTATGGATTAATAGGCTTCCAAGATGAGGACTTCTTCAACTCACTTGGGATTAGTCTTTTAACAACAATCTAGATTAATAAGTGTATCAACACTTAAGGACCAGAATTGTTTAACCTGGGGGATAATTCTTTATGCAATAGAGATAAGTAGATATGCCTTGAATCTGAGCAAAGTAAATCTATTTAGGTCTAAGGTAGCTGGTTTGTAAGGTTATTGGTGGTTTGAATCACTAATAAACACGGTACAAGTGTTGGTTTGATGCTACTAGAATTTCCTGGGGGGAAAAGGTAGGAATCAGGGCTCCTTAAATATTCTACAGGAGGCTCAGGGGAAGATGAGAGGCCCTCAGGGCACTAGGGAGCTTCTTAGCAGCTCTACAGTTTCGTGTAAGGAT